GCCGGGCCAGCAGATGGCACCCCGAGGGGATCAGCCGAAAGAACCGAGACGCCGCGGGAATGCACGCGGCCCGCCCCTACCAGTACTACTACAAAGCCGACGTCGACTGTCGGATGGAATCCTCTCTCGCTGACGGGGCCCCTCAACTGCGCAGCTGGCAAAGTGGGCCGGCGGCCGTGCCGGCAACGATGAGGCGCCGCCAGCGCCCGCGCGCTCCCGCGCTGGCGGGCCGAAACGCGTTTTTGCGCCTCTTCCACCACGCTTCCGTCGCATCCTTCGCAAGCTCGGCCGGCAGGGGGCCCCAATTAATTTCCGCCACTCACGGGGCCCGACGCCGACGCAAGGCCGCGACATCCGAGGCCGCCCGCGCGGCCGGGCGAGCCACCTGGCACAGTGGGCCAGGCGACAAAGAAAACAGGTTCACCTCTGCCGAAGTGGTCGGCGAGGCTATCACGCCGCCGCAGCCGGCAGCCTGCGCGCGAAAAAGGTAGCACTGCACCCCGGCCCGAGCCCGCGCACTAAGTCCAGGAGCGGCGCCGCGACGGGATCTCCTGCCCATTCCTGCGGACCTCGCCGAGCACCGCCTGTTGATCAGCCCATCGTCGACCGCCGCGGCCCAGGCCCCGGCTGTCGCCACGCTGCTCACCACAAGGGGGTCTCGGCACATCGCCCCCCCGATCGCGCGGAGGCGCAGGCCGATGGAGACTCCAAGGGCCAGGCGGCCCTCAGCCCTCAGCGCGTGGACCCCCAGCCCGCGCAATCTGCTGTCGGCGATGCTCGTGATGGCCGAGCCTCACATCGCCGTAGAAAACAGCGACCCACGAACAGGCGGCACGCCTTGGCCCCATCCGACAGCAGCAGCTCCATCCTGGCAGCCGGCTTGCCGGCTTTGCCCGGCCTTCTGTCGCGGCACTCGACGGCGGCCGTCGTCGTTGCCGTCGCCCCCCAGGCACCGCAGCCCAGTGCGCCTCGAGCCCGCCCCAGCGTTCGCCGAGGGCCGACGCGACCTGGGCGCCCGTGGCCAGCCAGCCCGTCCTGCCCTGGTTGATCTTGGGGCGGCGCTCCTCTGAATTCCCGCGTTGAGCGCCTGGGCCGCGGCGGGCAGCTGCTCGGCCACAGGGCGCGCGGCCCCGGCGGCATAGAAAAAACCATCGTCGAACAGCCCCGCGCGGGAACGATCGGGAACCTGGCCGCAATCCTCTGCAGCAAGGTGTAGGCGAGCAGCTTGGCGACCAACCGCGCGCGAGCACCGGGCAGCCGCGGCGCCGTCGGCCCCCGCGGCGGGGCCGAGCCCGCTGCCCAGCAGGGCCCGACGCCGGACGCGGCGCGACGAGCGCAGCGCGCGCAGCAGCAGCAGCGGGAAGCCCGCGGTATTTCGCGAGGTCGATCGCCGAGACGCTGGCGGCGAGCTCGGGCTTCCCCCTCGCGCGCGCCGCAGTCGGGTCGTGGGCCACCCCAACCTTCTCGCACGTCCCGCCAGCACTGCCGCAGCGAAAAAAGGAGTCGATCCGCTGCTGCCACTTGGCCGCGAGGGGCTGGCGGAGCTTCGACCAGACCCTCGCTCGCAGGCAGGCCGGGATACTCGGCCCCGCCCATCGTGGCGGAGGCTCGGGCAGGAAGATCACCGGCAGCAGCCACGGGGGGCACCTGGTCGGCCTGCGACCCCAGTTAAGCGCGCCACGCCCGGGATGGCCCAGCGGCAATGGAACGGCAGCCAACGCAGCTGCCGCGGGCGGGCCCTGCCCCATCCAAGCACTGCGCCGACGCTGAGCAAGGCGAAGACAGAGCCGAGCACCTCCACGGAGATGGAGGGCAGCTCCTCCCAGCAGCCGTCGGAATCGGCCGTCAACGCCGGCGGGTCGGCGTCGGCCTCGCGCCCAGGGCGGGCCCGGAGGGCCCCCACTCTGCCATCAGCACCTTCATGGCAGCATTGCCTGCTGCAAGCAACGGCCGGGCCTCCTCGGCGTCGCCGTCGCTCTGCAGGACGGCGGGCCTGACTGCGGAGCCTTTGGTGAACCTGCAGGCGTCGCGCGCGCCTGCTTCCGCGGCCACCGCCTGCGCCCGCGCTTGCCACGACGTGCTTCTTTCTGCGCTGCCACGCTGCTGCAGGGTTTAACCCGCCCAGAAATCGCCGCCAGCAGCCGGCGGCGCACGTGGAGCGGCGCCCTCCACCACGCGGGCGACCGCGGCGACGCCCCAGCCAGCCGCCCTTCCTGCGGCCAGTCGCCCGCCGGACTCTCGAAGCTCCGGGCGGCTCGGATCGGGCCCGCGAGCTTGCTGCAGCGCTTCCAGCCGCAACCCCCCGCGGCCCGGCAGCGCCGCCGCGCGACGGCAGGCGGGCGAGAACCTGGCCCGCAGGCGGCAGGCCGGGCCGGCCGCGGCCTCGAGCGCGGTAGCCCACGGAGCTCCACTTCCACCGCCGAAGCGGGGCGAGGCGGACCCGTCGCCGAGCACCTCTCGACCCTGCTCTAGAGCAACTCGGACACGATCGCGAAGCCGCGCTCCTTCGCTCCGCGCGCGGGGGCCCGCGGTCGGACCCGCGCGGCGCCAACGGGCTTCGCGCACGAGGTCAGGTAGGCGGGCTCGACGCAACAGTCCGCCATCACTATCCAGGGCCACTTCAGCCCGCCAACCCACTGCTTCAGGGCCTCCAGGAAATCGACGCAGGCGCCCGCCACCCCCGCGCCGTCCTGGAGGCAGGCCGACAGCACGTAGACCGGGAAGCCCAGGCCAGAGTTGACCGAAGCCGCGTGGCCACGCTGGCCAGGGGGCCAGGAGCCCGAGCGGCGCGCGGAGAGCTGCGCGCCGCAGGGCAAGCACGCGCGGCGCAGCCTCCCGAGCTGCCCAGCGGAACAGCGCCTGCCTCTGCGGCCAGGCCTGCGCGCTGGGAGAAGCCAGCACCAGCCGCCCACTTCTGCGCAAAGTCGAGGCGCCCTTGGACTTCCAGGCGGCGTTCCTGGAGGCACGCGACGCGCGGCAGCCTGTCCGCGTCGCGGAACCACTCCAGGAGGCGCGGGCCCGGCGCCCACCTGTTCACGTTGGCCAAGATCAGACGCAGCTGCTCGCTCACTTGCTGAAACGACGGGGTCGGCCCAGGCGCGCTCGAGACGCTCGCCCCTTGACCGCCCTGGGGCGCCGCGCAGCCAGGCCCCGCTCAACCAGCGCGGGCGCCCCTTGTACCTGGCGGGCCGACCTACAGCCTCGGGGCGCCCGAATCGACGCTCGCGCCCGCAATGCGACGGGTCGGCGATGCGCTCGCGGCGCCGTCACCAGAACCCGCCCGATGGCGGCAACTGTCGGACATCGGGCTGGGGCCGCGCTGGTCTGTCACTGCTGGCCCCCTGATGGGCTGGCTGCCACCTGCTCGCCCTCATTGATTGACTCGTCGCCGCCTGCGCCGCGACCGCCCTCAGCGCCCCGAGGACAGGCGCCGCCCGTCGACGGGGCCAAGGGGGGGCATCGCAGGAGAAAGGATCGGCCACCCACCCGCGGGCGGCGGCCCTTGCACATCGGGCTGAGGGCGCGCGGACGCGACCCTGCTGGCCCCCCCGATGGGCTGACAGCCGCCTGCGCGCCAGCGGTGCGCTGACGTACCAGCCACTGCGCTCGCGGGCCCATGACCGAAAACTTCGGGTCACGCCGCGCGTCGTCGAACCCTCGGCCAAGCCGCGCCCCGGCAATTCTGTAGCCCAGCTCAGGCCAGTCGTCGTCGACACCGTTCGCCGTCCAGAACGGGGACTCCGTTCCCAGCTTAGCCTCGCTTCCAACGCCTGGCCCCCCCTGAAAGACTGGGCGCCGCGCTTGGGTTTAGCTGTCTTCCTCATTTCCGAAGTCGAAGTCGGGCATGGTGGAGCCGCAGTCCCCGAGCCATGCGTTGACCCCATTCGAGCAAGCCCTCGCCGACGTCGAAGTCAGGGGCCCCGAGGTCCACGGAAATTGGGCCGTCGCCCGCTGGAGGAGCAGCCCCAGCAGGAGGAGCAACTGCAGCCCCATGCGCGGGGGCGCCTTTGGCTGCGGCGGCTGCGGCGACGGCCTTCTCGACTGCCCTCTCGGCCTCCTTCGCGACTGAGGCGAAGGCCCTCGCCAGCTGCTGCCCGATGGCTCAGGACTGCTCCAGCCCGAGGCCTGGCAGTTTGCGCGCCTCGTGGAGTATCTGGCCGAGGGCCTCGAGGTTTCCAGCAGCAACCGAACTAACCTTGGTTTGCGCCTGCTCCTGGAGATCCGCCAATTTGGCCTGGTGTTCGCGCAGCTGCTCAGTTCCTCGTCATGATGTTGCTGCGCCGGGGCAAGGAGCTCAGCCTGGCGGGCCACATAGGCTTCGGCCTTCTCGCACTGATTGCGTGTGCAGCACCTGGGAGAGCGGCTTCGTCAACAAATCCACGGGCGCAGGGGCCTGGAGCTCGGCGACGGCAGGCTGCTCCGACGAGAGGCGATCCTTGCCTTCAGCCCGCAGTTTCTTGTCGGCCATCGCCAGGAGCTCCGCCAACTCCAAGCCGTCCAGCGCCAGCTCCCCCAATGCATGCGGCGCATCGGCGAAGTCGGCGGCCAAGTCTTTGTCGCTGTCCCACTGCCTCGGCCTCGGCGGTTTCAGTTTCGGTTTGGGTTTCGCCTTGGGTTGGGGCTTCGGCGAGCCGCCTCCACCTCCAGCCGCGGCTCGGCCAGGGCGGTACCACGGCGCAGCGCCAGGCGTGAGGCCAAAATCCTTGTGCATCGCCGCGACATTAGGCGGCGCGCTGGCACCAGAGGACCTGCACTGGGCACGGGATCAGTGGTTGGGTTAGCCGCCGCAACTCCCCTGACACTTCCTCTGCAGTTCTCGCGGTTGAGCTCGCTCCCCAGGCGCACCATCGCGTGGTGCCATGGGCCAGGCGGGCTCGTCGTAGCAATTGGCTCGCACCCTCGAGCCATTTCGAAGAACGCGGATCAAGCTCGGTCTTGCGAAATTGCACCAATGCCCGAGACGAAACGGTTAGGAGGCAGACGAGGAGGAGGAGGAGGAGGAGGAAAAAGATGAGGAGGGGGAAGAGGAAGAGAGGAAAACGGATGAGTAATAGTAGGCGGAGGAGGAGGAGAAGGAGGAGGAGGAGGAGGAGGAAGAGGAGAAGGAGGACGGGGAGGAGGAGGAGGCGGAAGCGGAAGAGGAGGACGAAGAGGAGGAGGGGAGAAGGAGAGGAGGAGGGGGAGGAGGGGGAAGAGACAGGGAGGAGGACGAGGAGAGAGAAGGAGGAGGAGGAGGAGGAGAAGAGGAGGAGAGGAGGAGGAGAGAGGAGGAGGAGGAAAGGGAGGAGAGGAGAGAGGGAGAGGGGAACAGGGAGGGGAGGAGCAAGGAGGAAGAAAGAGGAAGAGGAGAAGGAGGAGGAGAAGGAAGAGGAGGGGAAACAGGAAGAGGAGGACGGCGAAGCGGAGGCGGAGGCGGAGGCCGAGGCGGAGACGGCGGAGGAGGAGGAGGAGGAGGAAGGAGGAGGAGGAGGAGGAGGAGCAGGGAAGGGAGGAAGGGAGGAAGGGGGGAGGCGGAGGAAGATGGAGCAGGAGCACGAGGAGACCCCCTCTCCCCAGGCCTCGGGGAAGGACAAAGACACGGCGCCCGACGGGCGGGCCGTGTCTCACGCCGGCACGGACGGCTCGGCCGGCTCCGCCTTGCTCGCCGCCGCCGCCTCCGCCGCCTCCCTGCGGGCTTTCCTGGCTTCCCGTTCGGCCCTCTTGGCCCGCGCCTTTTCCTCGGCCTCGACCTTTTTCTTCCGCACGCTCTCCTCGACCTCGGGGTGGGGGCGAGGGAAGGGGAGGGCGGGGAGGAGGGGGGAAGGGAATAAGGCCGATCCCAACCACTTCGGGCCGATCCCAACCACGTGGGGCGGATTCCAACCACCGAACAAGGGCCGATCCCAAGGTGAAGGAATTCTACATTAATTCTACAAGACGAACGCCGGATTACCACCGGATTACAACCTCTGGAGAACCGCTGAGGCGTTTCACCAGCGCCTCCGAAGCGCTCTACCAGCGCGTCCGAAGCGCTTCACCAGCGCCTTTGAAGCGTTTCACAAGCGCCTCTGAGGCGCTTCGCTTGAGCTTCTGGAGGGCTTTTGGAGCGGTTCGCATGAGTTTCTGGACGTCCTCCGAAGCGCTTCTCATAATCTGTTGGAGAGCTTCCCGAGGGTTCCGAAGCGCTACTCCGGAGCTTCTGGAAAGTTTATGAGGGGTTTCTGGAGACCTTCTGGAGAGCGACTAGTAGTAGTAGTAGTAGTAGTAGTAGCAGCAGTAGCAGTAGCATGTCGTAAGTAGTTAGTAGTAAGTAGTAAGTAGTAAGTAGTAAGTAGTAACTAGTAAGTAGTAAGTAGTAAGTAGTGAGTAATAAGTAGTGAGTAGTGAGTAGTTAGTAGTGAGTAGTAAGTAGTAGTAGTAGTAGTAGTAGTAGTAGTAGTAGTAGTAGTAGTAGTAGTAGTAGTAGTAGTAGTAGTGGTAGTAGTAGTAGTAGTAGTAGTAGTGGTAGTACGAGTAGTACTAGTAGTAGTAGTAGTAGTAGTAGTAGTAGTACTAGTAGTAGTAGTAGTAATAGTAGTAGTAGTAGTAGTTGTTGTGGTAGTCGTAGTCGTAGTAGTAGTAGTAGTAGTAGTATTATTAGTAGTAGTAGTAGTAGTCATAGTGGTACTAGTAGTAGTAACAGTAGTAGTAGTAGTAGTAGTAGTAGTAGTAGTAGTAGTAGTAGTAGTAGTAATAGTAGTAGTAGTAGTAATAGTAGCTGTACTAGTAGTAGTAGTAGTAGTAGTAGTAGTAGTAGTAGTAGTAGTAGAAGTAATACTAGTAGTAGTGGCGGTAGTAGTCGGAGTAGTTGTGGCAATCGCAGTAGTAAAAACTGTTGTTGATGTTGTTGCAATAGTAATAGCAAAGGTACGATCTGTGCCGTAAACATACTAGTCGTAGTAGCAGAGGTAGTAGCAGTAGTAGTCGTACTAGTAGTAGTAGTAGTAGTAGCACGAGTAATCGTCGCCGTCGTCATAGTAGTCATGTGTATGGGGTTGAAGTACAAGGGCACAGAACCCCTGATCCGCTGGTAGAGGGAAGGAGGGATAGATGGATGTCTTTCCCTCCTGCACGATCAAAGGTATGATCGATCAGTCCCTAGCGCACTTGGGCAGTCCCAATACCTGAGCCCAAACGGCCAGGCGCAGGAGAGGTGAGGATAAGGAGAATTATATGAGGGTATTACACGGGTTCTCTTCACACACCCCGTCCCGAATCCCGCCCGTGAGGGTAGGACTCGGGAGCAGAGGAAAAGAATCCGTCACCCTTTTACTCCGTCAATCCTCAATTCAGTCAGGCAGCTGAGCTTAAACATTGTCTAGCCTCAGCTGCAAGGTGAAGTAAGAAGGAACACCCAGGGTCTCGATTTCTTCGCCAAGCACGCTTTGGTGCCCCCTCGGTGCGCCCCCCAAAACGCTTCGGCACTCGAGGGCGGGGAAGAATGAGACACGGGTGGGCGGAAAAAGAGGATCTGCGCAAGTTAAAGCAACATCAGAATCCGCCTCGCCTTACGCGAGGCAGGCGTTGCCACCAGCGGTTAGATCATTCTCGACGCGATGGAAGCAAACTCTAAAGAATATGCATTCTGAGATCGCGTTGATGAACACGATCGCGTTACGAAACGCATCTACATATCAAAGCAAATGTCTGGCCAGACGAAAGGTCGTGTTGATGAACACGAAAAGTTGCACATACATAAATTCTCTATTTGGCGACTCCCGTTGGCGCTGCCCCTTGGGAGGCCGCCTTGGTTATCGCAAAAATATGTGTGTATGTGTGGCCACTTGTGTTGTATAGCGAAGTGGCCTAGAAGTATATAATAGCCACCGCCCAAGGCGAACTTGTATTATAATGAAGTTCAAGCCTTTCGAGCGGTGGGCCTGGCGACCGACTCTACTACGCGCTGCCGTTCTCGTAGAACCTGCGGCCCCACATCCTGCGGCCACCGTGCGTCACGTAGCTCGTCGCGAACGTCCCCCAAGATGTCCTCGGGATCCAGTGGCGAAACCACTTGTTGTACTGGATGTCGCGGACGCATACGAACTCGTCGTTGTTGAGCGCGATGTAGATCCAGCAGTTGATGTAGTAGCCCCAGTACCTGAGGCCCCAATGGCTGTCCTCTAGGTCGTCGCGCCACCAGGCGGCGCAGTCTGTCGTACGCGCCCTCTTGGCGCGAGGCCTGTAGCTGTCATCGCTGTCCTGCCGCTGCGCTGCAGTGCCGCGCGGCCCCGCGGGCATGCGGTCCGCCGCGCCAGAGGCGCTGGACCGTGCAGCATCGCCAGGGGCAGGGCGCGGCGGCGGCGGATGCCGCGGCACGCGTGGCTCCATGACATCATCAGAGTGCTGGGAGTGTGTATCAGGTTCGATCGGATCGGTTCTCATCCCTGAATCAACCCCCTCTGATCAGTGGGACCCAAGGCGGGTTCAACATGAGCGAGCGCGGCAAGCTTGCGCTGCGTGACTTTCTCACGGGTACCATCCCCCCTGGGGAGGGCAATCGCGACAAGTCCGCATGCCTGCCGCGTGCTTCTGTCGAGTCTGCCTTCGTTCAACCACCATTTCTTCCGACCAGCCTGGCCAGTCCTCATGCTGGTCTCGAGAATTTCACATGCATCGCGCATGTCCTCAACTGTATAGGCCTTCAGGCCTCTATTAATACGAGCGCCTGTCATTTGGTGGTGGAACTTCAAATCATTGAGAAAGCGCTGAACGAGATTGGCAAATGGATGGTATAGAGGTCTGTCGCCTTCACGCTCGCCCATCAATCTGCACTCATGTGCAGGAGGGGAGCCAGAGGCGACCCACTTCTGGTACCTCTTCCTAGCGGAATTGGCCATTCTCCTCAGCCCATCTTTCTCATTGCCTGGAAAAGAGCGCTTGCCCGTCATGATGACCTGCGCTCCGTCTCTCGTGTACCTCGGTATGTCATCCTGGGAGAGCGTCGTCTTGATCCAGTGGGTCAGCTTCTGGAGGTATGCCAGATCGCTCTGGGCGGCGGTACTTTTACCCGTAGCACCTACGGATACAGTGTACTGCCAACAGATGTCACAAAGGGCACCGTCGTCCGTGACGATCCCTAGGGATAAGATACGATCGGGGTTCCGACATCGCGCGATATCATGCTGACTAGCTTCTGGGGCTCCGTCAATCGTGAGATGACCACGAGATCCCCAGCGAGTATCCTGACCACGAGCAAGACTGCGGCCGATCTTATCCATGGCATCGCGGTTGATCTCGGCGTTAGGCTGGGGAGCGATCGATCTGCTCATTCCCTCGATCTCGATCCTAGACAACCGTTCCCCTGGCAGTCCTATGCACTCGGTCGTGTCGTTGTCCGCGTCCTCAGTATTACCATGGCAGACGTTTTCTGTACGGAAACGGCTAGCCTCTTCCTGCAAGGCGGACTCGTTGTCACCCTCCTCGCGGTTGATTCCCTTCTGTTCGGCTATGATCCGTACCATGGTTTCCTGATCGGGAGCTGCGGATGCAATGCTGCCTGGGTCCTGGGGAATGTCCTGCTCCGCGCCTGGGTCACGTGGCGCGGCAGGTGTTTCCACCAGCTCCGTCCATACGGGGAAGCCTGGATTGCCGAATGTCGCGATGCAATGTGTGGATAGATCACGCAACGTCTGGAGTGCAGGATGGTTCTGATGAGCAGCATCTTTTGTGAAATCACGGAGCTCCCCAATACTGTCCAGCAATATGATTTGATACACTTTAGAGATCCATTGGAAGACGCCTGTAGTCGACTCCTCGATGGTCTCTGGGTCCAGGTAGTGGACCAGCTTTTTGAAGAAGCCATCTGCACTGCAAATTGGTAAGTCGCGTGCCCATTTGCGGGTATGATTGTAATCCCAATAGTGTGTCTCCGCGTTCCATGCTTTGGATCCGAATTGAATTTCAAATCGCAAGTGTGATTTTACTTTATCCACCACATACCTGTCCGCGCCAGTGTGCACCTCAATGATTTGTTTCACCTTTATCATAGGTGATTCCACCAACAACTGTGATGCCCATCGGTATATGCAGTGGTCATGTGATTGGCTGGTCCACTTTAAGTCCTCCTCTGGGTCGTAGTCGGGGTGGTTGAGGAAGTCTTCTGGCGGGTCAATAATATTGTCGGGGATGCTCGCGTCGACGTGCCCATCTGCTTGGATCTCTGCTGATAGATCTGCTCTCATATTGTCATTTGCTGCTTTCTCCTCGGCAGTGAGTGGTATCTTTGATATATCCCCAATCACAGTAACCAGAGGTTCAGCAGATTGGCCTGCCTTTCGTTGGGGCCCATCGTCCGCGGGAACAGTATCCTCGGCAGGTGTGGCCACCAGCTCTTCGGGATCGGGTGTCCGAGGAGCGGGCCGTCTGGTCGGTGCACGCGGGATACGTGGCTTGTAAATGCTTGGCATTCCGAGATACGGCAGATCACCATCTGTTTTATGCTGAAATATTTTGTCACGGCATGAGGATGGTCCTTCCGGGGCAGTATTCATATCTCTCGGGTCAATGGCGGCACGAACTGGTAAAGCAAAGACAACGCCCTTGAGAGGCATGCCTTTGCCATTGTACCATATGTTCACCCATCGTAAACCGTAGTTGAGGATAGGTATGTGCACCGCAAAGAACTTGTCAAAGACTCCGAAATGAATGATTGGGCCGTATATGTGGCCCTTGTTCATGAGGACCTTGGTGTTGTGATTGCCCTTGGGGTAGTGATTGCCATAATGATAACAATTGGTAGATCCCC